GGGCCCGTTCTGGCGGGGACATCACGGCGGCACTGCCTACAGCTCCTGGGGCCTCGATGGCCGTCCGGCCCCCTCCTGTCCCGGCGGCTGCGGGTGGGTGGCCGTGTCCGCCACTCCCTCCTCCGGCCCAGCGGACGCTCAGCTGGGAAAGGGCTTTCGCCCTGGAGGGGCCTCGGCAAGCCGGCGCAATGCCCCCGGGCTGAGCCGAGTCCGGGAAGGTGCCTGCCTGGCGGGGCTGCCGGGAGAGCTCTCAGCCACGGTGCTTCGGCTCCAGAGCCCGGAAAAGGGGGGCAGAGTCGCTGCACGTTTGGGGTCTGTGTGGGGAAGGGTGCCCACAGCTATCATTTCTCCCCGGTCCCCCTGCTCTGGACAGCGGGGAGCAGGTAAGCAGGGGCGAGGCAAGCTGTCCAGGAAGCTGGGGCTGGGGGGTCATCCTTGGGACTCAGCCCAGGCAAGTTTTCCTAAAGGACCAGAGAGCAGCCGTTCGGCTCTGGGGCTCTGGAGGGCCTAGGGCTTTGGGGTTCTAGGGGGGGCTGGGCCTCTGAGAGGAATCTGAGCCTTTGGGGGGGCTGGGCCTCTGGGGGGGGATCTGAGCCTTTGGGGGGTCTGGGCCTGGGGGGGATCTGAGCCTTTGGGGGGTCTGGGCCTGGGGGGGGATCTGAGCCTTTGGGGGGGCTGGGCCTCTGGGGGGGATCTGAGCCTTTGGGGGGTCTGGGGCTCTGGGGGGGATAAGCCTTTGGGGGGGCTGGGCCTCTGGGGGGTCTGGGCCTCTGGGGGGGGATGAGCCTTTGGGGGGCTGGGCCTCTGGGCGGGATCTGAGCCTTTGGGGGGTCTGGGCCTCTGGGGGGGATGAGCCTTTGGGGGGGGCTGGGCCTCTGGGCGGGATCTGAGCCTTTGGGGGGTCTGGGCCTCTGAGGGGGATGAGCCTTTGGGGGGTCTGGGCCTCTGGGGTCCGAGCTGCGTCTGAGCTCTGCAGCGGGAGCGGGAGCTGAGCCAGCGGCGGCTGCAGCCTCCCAGCAGGACCTTGTTTACCACGGCGGGCGGCGAGGCGGGCGGTCTGCCAAGCCCTGAGGGCCAGCCAGGGTCAGGAGGCCCGGGGCGTCACGTGTCCGCCCTGGTGAGGAGCTGGGAGGACAGAGGCGCCGAGGCCCAGGCAGAAACCCACCTCCTGGCCTCCTGACAGACAGACGGGCAGACCCAGCCCGTCCTCTGCGTGGAGCAGTGGTGCTGGCACCCACGACCACGGACCTGCACACGGAAAGGGGACCTGCACACGGAAAGGGGACCTGCACGGCGGGTGCGACCCCCAGCAGGGCAGACAAAAAGCCTGGCCTGCCTCTCCGCCCGCAGGGAGCCGCCCCCAGCTCTCCACGCCCGCCCCGAGGCCTTAGATCATTCCCTGCTGACGGGCACCCCGAGCATTCAGAGAAAGCCGAGCAGAGACACCGGCCTCCGGGCTCCCCGCTCCGCCGTCCCCCGTCCACACCGCAGCGCGCACGGAGCTGGGGTCGTCCCCTCACACCAGCACGGGCCTCCCCACGGGAGGGGCCGGAGGCAGCAGAGGTCGGGGTGGCCAGTGCTGGTCCGGCCTGGCTGTGGCCTGTTGGCGTTTGCCAAAAGCGCCTCACAGCTGTGCCCATGACTCCAACATTCTCCTCGGTCATGAACACAGACCCACCACGTGATGTGAGACCATGGCTCCATGTTCTGCATCAGGACAGAGCTCCGAGCATTCAGCTCATCGCCAAGGGACAGAGCCCCTCAAACACGAAGCCAGCCTCAGGAGCCTCCCTGCCTGGACCCCCGCATCCTCACCCATCCGCTCCCCAGGGACCCGCACCCTCACCCATCCACTCCCCAGGGACGCTGCACCCTCACCCATCCACTCCTCAGGGACCCTGCACCCTCACCCATCCGCTCCCCAGAGATGCTGCACCCTCACCCATCCACTCCCCAGGGACCCTGCACCCTCACCCATCCACTCCCCAGGGGCCCTGCACCCTCACCATCCGCTCCCCAGGGGCCCCCACCGACCCCCAGCCAAGCCAGCGTGGACCCGGCTCCTCTCACTTTGAAACAGTCCTCTCACTCTGTCTGCAAGTCACTAACGACCTGGGCCTCAGTCTGATCACCTGTAAAATGGGGATAAGAACCAAACATTAGCCGAGTTAACCCAGGAACGGTGGGATGCGATTCAAAGCACTTGGCACTGAACCATTGACAGCTGCAGTCGCCGTCCTTCCTGCCAGAACTGGGAGGGGGGGGCTGAGCCTCCGGCAGCAGCCTGTGACTTGGCCTTGGCCACTGGCAGATACAGAGCCACGTAACCAGCCAACCTGCCAGCCAGCGTGCCTTCAGCACCCCTAGGGGACAGACCACACCCTCCCCCCACCCCAGACCCCGGGCCACAGCTCTCGTGGCACAATATCACCTGTGCTGCTTTTTAAAAAAAAAATTATTTTATGGATTTTGTACAGAGAGGAAGGGAGAGAGATAGTTAGAAACATCGATGGGAGAGAGTCATCGATCAGCTGCCTCTTGCACACCCCCTACTGGGGATATGCCCGCAACCAAGGTACATGCCCTTGATCGGAATCGAACCCGGGACCCTTCAGTCCCCAAGCCGACGCTCTATCCACTGAGCCACACCGGTTTCGGCCACCTGTGCTGCTTTTGAAACGACAAAAGCTGAGGTCTGGGGACCCAGGCCTGAGTGACCTTCATTTATTTTTAGTGTTTTTATTGATTTCAGAGAGGAAAGGAGAGGGAGAGAGAAACGGCAATCCACTGAGGATGGAGCCCACAACCCGGGCCTGTGCCCTGACTGGGAATCGAACCGTGGCCTCCTGGTTCCTAGGTCCACGCTCAACCCCAGGCAGTTCTGCTCTCAACCAGAGTGGGGGTCGGAGGACACGGAGAACCTGTGCCCCTTAAAGGAGAAGTGCCTGGAAGGGCCGCTCACTGCCTTCTCCGGGAGGTCACTCCAGGCCGCCAGGACCCGCGTGGGGCTGCCCCGCTCTGCACCCCGGGCTGCCTGAGCCCAGAGGGCTGAGTGTGGGACACGCCCGGCAGCCGGGCTCAGATTGCACCCGGTAAAGCTCCCGTCTGACCAGACCGGCCTTATTTGGAAGCGGGGGTCTTTGCAGATGTGAGCGAGGGACGATGAGGTCATGCTGGTGTGGGTGGGCCTAACGCAGTGACGGTGCCCGAAGGAAGGGGCGCGTGGGCGCACACACCAGGGATGTCGCCGGGGGAGACGGAGCCGGGGGGCAGCGAAGCGCCCACGGGCCCAGGATGGCCGCGGAGCCGGTGCCCGGAGCGGAGGCGTGCCCAGTCCTCCCTCGGGGCCCCGGAGGGTGCCGGGCCTGCCCACCTTGATGTCAGACCTGAGCTCGGAGAAGCCGTTCCTGCTGGTTTCTGCGGGTTCCCCACCCCATCCCGCCCCAGGCACCTAACCCTCGGGGCTCTGCCGCCCAGCTCCGGCTCCAACTTCGTCTGCAGGCCCCGGGCCGGGGCGCGGACGGGGCTGAGCATTTTAGCTGCGGGATGAGTCTGATGCGACGATTTGGACACAGACTGAGGAGGAAAGGAGAGTCACACACAAAGCAAGGAGGGGAGCCCGGATATCCTGCAGCTCCCAGCTCCGGCCCCTGGCGGCCCAGGCTCCAAACCCCAAGCACAGAGAGCCCAGCCTCAGGGGCAAGCACCCAGGGTCCCTAGCCCCTCCCACTCCGCTCCCGGAGCCCAGCCTCAGCCTGGTGCCCCACGCCCCTCAGCTCACAAACATGGCTTCTCTCTCCATCAAGGGGCCTGGACAGGCCTTGGTCCCAGGGGACACCCCGTGGGAAGGCTGATCCAGGCTCCCCCTCAAATCATGCCGGACCCCAAACAGACCGACTTCTCCAGATCAGACTGTGTGCAAACTGCTCCTCAAGCACAGCCCAGCCCGCCCAGGGGCCCTGAGCCAGGGCGCCCAGGTGGGAGAGCTGCCTCCCAGGCCAGGCAGCAGAGAAGCTGGGGTGCGCAGGGGGCTCCAGGGGTGTGGCTATCTGGGGGGTGGAGGGGGAGAACCCAGAAAAGCCAGCCTGGGGCACCCCTCTGGCCTGGATCAGGGTGCGGGGTAGCTGGGTGGAGCAGCGGGAGGTACACCTGTTGAGAGTGAGTGGGACCCGCAGGCCACCGCGGGGGCTGTGAGGCCTGCAGACCCGGATGGAGGCGTCAGGGTCCCTCAGGGTGCCCGCTGGTCCCCCCCAGTGCCATGCCCCTCCCTGGCCAAATGCCTGGGTTCCTCCCTCGCTAGCGCCCCCCTCTGAAGGGCAAGGAGTCCTGGGGGTATGACCCCTCCCCCCAGCTGCCCCGCCGCTCAAGTCACAATCCCTAGCTTTTGTGGGGGTCCGGAAAGGGGTCCCCAGCGGCCGTGGACTCCTGGACCCTCCTTCCTGCCCAGCCCTGGTGCAATGTCGCCTGGCCAGCCCCCTGAGCCCAGGGCCTGCCCAGGGGAGGGACCGTCCATCCGCACCAAACCCCCATCATCCAGCGAGCCCCCAACTGGGCCGGTGGGAGAGGCCCAGGCAGAAAGCCTCCCCACCCAGCCCCACCGAGGAGCCCCGTGTCAGAGTGAAAGTTTCTTCCTGGGCCCGGGCCTCCCGCCGCCGGCCCGCTCCCTCCCGCGCCCCCGCCCGCCTCGCCCCGCCGCGTCCCCGCTCCCCGCCCCCGCGCTGGCACCCCGGGCGCTCCGCCCGCCAAACCCGGCCGGGCCCCGGCTCCCGGCTCCCGGCTCCCCGCCTCCCGCTCCAGGCTCCCCGCTCCGGCCAGAGCGGCAGCGGAATTTCGGAGGAATTTTGAGGTCGGAGGCATCGCGGCGGAGGGAGGGGAGGAGGCGGGGAGGAAAGTGCGGTTCTGGCGTCAACTTGCAGGGCCGGGCCGGGGCGGCGCCGGGTCCCCTCCCCCCGGCGCAGGCGGCGGCGGGGTCCCCACGAACCCCGGGGGCCCGTCCTTACCTACATCCGCGTTGCAAAACGCCTGTTGCGGGTGCACCGGGGAGCAGCTGCAGGCGTCGGCGCGGCGGAGCAGCGGCCCCAGCAGCAGGAGGCCGAGCGCCAAAGGCAGGCTGCGGGCCGCGGCGCCCATGGCGGGCGGGGGCGCGGGCCGGGGCGTCGGGGCGCTGCCTCCGGGGCGGATGGGGCGCGCGGTCTGGCTGCGCTCCCGCGGCGCCCTCCACGCCCGGCCGCACTCGCCGCACAAACTTTCGCGGGCGGGGCCGGGGAGGCGCGGGAGGCGCGGGGGCGCGGGCGGAGAAGAAAGGATGGGGCGGCGCGGCGCAGCCCGGATGGTCCTCGTCCGCCTCTGGGGCCGTGTGCGCTGCGGGAGCGGCTGCACCGGCTTTATAGCGCTCGGGGCGCGCCGCCGGCCAATGGGGTTCGAGGACCCCCGAGGCCCCGCCCCCCGCCGCCCTCGCCGCCCGGCCCTCCCCCAAACCCCGCTTTTGTTGTGCCGGGCGCGGGGGCTCAGCGCTGCGCACCTGGCTTCTCCCCGCGACCCTCCACCCGGCCCCGGGCCGCGCCCCGCAGCCGCCCCAATCGCCCGAGGCCCGGGCGCGGGGTGATGCGGGCGGAACAGCGCCCAGGGGGGCCCTGACTCAGCACCTGGGACTCACAGCCCGCTCCCAGGGCTCAGGGGGCCCACCTACCACCCTTCCCCCCAGCTGGGCCCCAGAACCCTTAGATTCCTTCGGGCCGGGGACTGAGCAAGAAGGGTGTGCGCTGAGGGCAGAGGTCACCTCCTGCGGCCTCGCCCATGCTGGGGAGGGAGACCCCTGCCTCAAATGGAGGCCTTGGAACGGTGGGTTGGAAAGGCTGGGGGAGTGGTTAAGGAACAAACAGACTTTATATAAACTGGCCATGTCCGTGCCCAGCCAACAAGCACCAGGGGCTGGGCCCAGGAGCGCAGGAGGCGGTGGGATTGGACGAGGCCCTGGCCGGGCTGCGCTCACCGGGCCCTCCCGTGGCCCCCAATGTGGGAGCCAAAGCACTTCTCCCCAAACAGCTCAGGTGCCAGAAAGGGCGGGGATCCTCGGGGTGTGGACGGCGTGTGAAGTATGACAAAGTGTGACCTGCCTGCCTGCCCCGGCTCTGAGCCCCTGGGCGGGCGGGCAGCTGCACCGGGGACCTCCGGCTTGCTTGGGGGGGGGGGGGACCTGGCCGGGCTGAGGAGGGGAGGGAGGAAAAGGCGCCGCTGGAGGAGCCGTGAGGGGAGGGGAGAAACCGGGAAACCCGGGCTCGCTGGGAGGAAGGACAGCGGGCAGAGCAATGTTTTGAGCGGCCTTCGAGCCCAGAGTCACTTTCCCGTTTTTGTTCATACAAAACCGTGTCACCTGCTCTCTGCTCCGGCTCCAAGAGGGCGCAACGCGGCAGGAGGAATCCAGGGAAGGGCTACAGCTCCGACCTGGGCCCACGGAGGGAGGCCCACGGAGGGAGGCCCTGGCCAGGCTGCCTCCCATCCCGGCAAGAGAGGGAAGGAGGCAGGGGACCTGGAGCCGGGAGCTGGTAGTCACCTGCTCTCCCTCCGGCCTCCTCTGCCTTAGCATTGCCGTGGCCAGCAGGAGAGCAGGCCGGGACCCTCCCCGCGTGCATCCTGACCATGCTGCTGGGCCTCGCCTGCACCTGTGGCTCCCCGTGGTCAGAAAGGAGGGAGCAGGCCTGCTGGGGGAGGGTCTTCTAGGACCCTCAGACCACAGTCCCGGAGTCACCACTTCCCACCAGGAGCACCCACCTTGTTCCGCACCACAAGAGACTTTCCCAGCAGAGCACAGCAGACTGCCCCCCCCCCATCACCTCTCTGCCATCCACCCTGCCTGCCGTCCGCCCTGCCTGCCGTCCGCCCTGCCTGCCGGCCCAGGCTGAGCTTGGTGGAGTCGCTGTGCAAGGCCAGAGGAAGCCGCACGCCCTGCTGCCCTCCTCGGATAAACAGAGTCAGGGTGAGCTCAGGGCCTGGCAGTGGCTTCAGGGCGGACAAGGGCCCTGTCAACGCTGGGCACAGCCTCGCGGCCACGCAGGCGGGCGGTGCCACCGGCAGACCCGTCCCAGCACCCCCGGCCTGGCTGCCTGCACAGGAGGGAGGAGGAATGCCGAGCTCCTACAGTACAAGGTGGGCCGGGCCCCGGCGCGCCCATGTCATGGCTGCGTGGCCAGCGGTGGCCTTCAGAAGCGAGTTCGACTCCCGTCCCATTTGGTTCATTTTGTGACGGATCCTCTCCGGCCAGGCCTGGCTTCTCACCCGGCACTGCTCACCCCACCAGCCCGCCCTCTGGCGGGGAGCATCCTGGGCTCGGCGGGGTATTGAGCAACACCCCTGGCCTCCCCACTCCAGATGCTGACAGCACACCGCCCCGGCATCTGTCCAGATGTTGCTCAATGTCTGGGGGGGAGGGAGGGAGAGGGAGGCCAACGCATTCTGGCTGACAAGCCCTGAGCCATAAAGATCCTGGGTCGTGAGAAAGCGAGACGCAGGGACGTAAACAAGGCTCCAGGGGGGCAGGGGGTGCTAAAGCGTGCTCATCTAAAGTGTGCCTGGCAAACAGCATGCACCTGCCTCCATTTATGGGGAAATTAAACCTGTGCGTGGATCCTATGAGTGGCTCAGTGGATAGAGCGGCGGCCTGCGGACCCAGTGTGTAGAGTGGGGGCCCAGGTTTGATTCCGGTCAAGGGCACATGCCCAGGCTTAGTCCCCTGTAGGGGGGCATTCAGGAGGCAGCTGGTCATTGATTTTCTCTCATCATGGATGCTTCTCTCTCTCTCTCAGGGGGCAGGTGGGCACTCAGGCCTCCTCCATCTGAGCAGCCTGCGCCGGTGGTGTCCTGCGGACGGGCTGGCGTTCTGCAGACGGGCTGGCTAGGGTGGGGGATTATGGGGGGGTATAAGGGGGTGGGCGCCAGGGGAGCCGCTGCCCAGCTCACAGGGGTGATTGACGCTGAGTGTTTGTGGTTTCGGTTTCCTCTCCCTTCCTCTCCAAAATCAATAGAAAACATATTTAAAATTAAAAAAAAAAAAAAGAGCTCTCTGAAAGGCCTTCACCGAAGAGTCAGAGGAGTGGCTGCAGGCGGTGGGAAAGGAGGTGACAGGCCAGAGGTCAGAGGTGGCGTCCTGCTCCTTGGACAGGAGTCAGACAAACGGCCCCCGCCTGCCTGGGGACTGCCTGTCAGAGGCGCCCCGCCCGCAGCTCTGGCTCAGCCTGCGGGGCTGTTCCGGGCTATCCGGAGGGAGGGCATGGCTGAGGAGGTGGGGAGCAGGTCCGGGCACCCCCCTACACACACACCACCGTGCTGTCCTGACCCAGATAGGGGGGGACAGGGCCGTCCGGGGGGTCAGAGGGAGCCCAGGAAGTCCTTGGCCTGAAGAGATGGCACCCCAGAGCCAACAGCCCGGCTTAGAGCAGCGCACACCTCCTCCCAGGGGCCTGCGCTCCCCTCCCTGAGACATGGAAGGTCCTCCTGCACCTTCTGGGAGACAGGGTGGGGGAGAGGGTCCGTGGGCACACACCTGAGTCTGCCCTCCTCTCCACCTGCCTGACCCTGGCCTCGCCGCTCCCCTGGACCTGCCCCTACACTCGGTCCTGTGAAAACAAAGGACGCGGAGAGGCGGGGCGAAGCGGGGCTCCGAGCAGCGTGCGCTCCTGCCCGGCATTTCCTCTTGGCCCCGGGCACGTGGTCATGTGCTTCCTGCCCGCGGTCAGGGAGCGGGGCCAGCAGCGAGGCGGAGCCCAGGCCTCCTCCACCCCAGCAGCCTGAGCCGGCGTTCTGGGGACCGGGCTGGCAGGGGCAGGGGGCGGGCACCTGGGAGCCGCTGCCCAGCTCGCTGGGTGATTAGGCTGAGTGCCTGTGGTTTGGGTTTCCTGCCCTGGATGCCGGGAGGCTGGAGGCCCGTCCCCCTGCCCACCACCCTCCTCTTCCTTCGGAGCCAGAGTGACAGGCCGTGGCCATGATGTCATCCCTAATCCAAACACCAGGGGCTGTGCGGCGGGTCCCATGCTGAGCACAGCAGTAACCTCACTCGCAGGCTGTGATTAGGGCTGTGCCCAGTGGCCTCTCCTACCCTCTCCCCAGGCCCAGTCTTCTTGCTCTGGACCTGGTCTCAGCCCCCTCCCGCCCCCACCCTCCTGTTCCCTCTTCCCTGGGGGCCCCAGGTAAACGTGAGGCCCGCCCTCCATCAGCAGCCCCAGTCCAGGTTCCTGCCTGCTCACCCACTCATATGCCAACCCGCCTCACTCTCTCACACACACACACACACACACACCCCGCTGTGGCCAGCTGGGAGCATACGGAATGGGTCCCAGCCCCTAGGCAGCCCGGGGAGGGGGTGGGGGTGTCAGGACGGGTTTGAAAGGCCCTCGTTCCTCCTTGAGCCGAGACGCTGGCGACAGAAAGAGCAGGTGGGCGGGGGGGCGCTCCGGGCCCAACAAAGAGATCAGAGGGGGCGAGCCGTGAGAAAGGCAAGGATGGGGCTGCTGGGAAAGTGAGTCACCGGGCCTGACCGCGCTCCCAGCTGTCCAGAGTGTGGGTCTGGCTCGCAGACTCTCTTTCTGGCTCTCCAGCCTCTCCTCCTCGGAGACAGCCCAGCCCTTCAGACGAGAGGGCGGCTGCAGCGCCCGCTCTCCGCTCCAGGCCTGCCCAGCCCCTGGCCGAGAGGGGTGCTGAGCAGTCAGTCCCGCCCCCGTTTGCTGCCTGGCCCCTCGCCCTTGGGGTCCACGGTTGCAGGTTCCGCCGGGAGCACGCCTGGCCGCCTCCCCGTCTCCCCTGCTCACTTCCCCTCACAGGTGCCCCGTGGCCCGCAGGGAAGGCACCGGGTCTGGGCACCCCGGCCTCCAGCTGCGAGCCACGCCGGGCTTCCTGCAGTCATTCAGGCGCTGTGGGTCCCCCCAGGGCTCCCCATGGGGTCCGACTGGGGGAAGCAGAGGGTTCCCCATGAGAACTCCCTGCCCCAGGCCCCGCAGTACACAGACCCTTTGCAGCCCCATCTGGACTTCCTCTCTCCTGGTTACTGTTTCCTGCCCGTCTCCCCCTCACTCTCTGCTTCCTAAGATTACAGCTCATTCACTCATCCATCCACTCACTCATCCATCCATCCATCCATC